CTTGATATTGTTTATCTTGAAGGCTCTCCTTTAGTACCTTGTATATCATATCATTCACTAATGAAGGACGGAATCTAATAAACAAAAAAATTAATAAACAAGACAAAAGCTCTTTATTATCTTTACTTGTCTTTGAAATTTGGTCTGATAGTGTATGTTGCTGATTCCTCCATTTTGTTTCTCAGTCACTATAGCAACAGACCACACCCAATCCTTCATTTTCTCTAAAGAGAGAGATGTGGCCCGAAGCTCTTCCTGGCTTTATAATAATAGCTGGTTGCTTCACACTGACGGGGATCATTTTTAGAGGAGTAGACAAATGGATGAACAATGGACGGGTATGAAAAACACTGTATATGTACCGGAATACTCTAATTATGTATAAGTACGGGTTTGTTTTTGTGCTAATTACTGAACAAAGCTTCTATACTTGGTCTTGGGGTCATTCAATCATTATCCATTTCTTATCTGGTCTCCATTGTTATGTACATACAGTGCTTCCTCTTTGAGTTCAGCTAAAGTACAAACCCTGTTACATGTACCTGGTTTGAGGTACCAACACACCATGATCATTAATTAACATTGAATGGATTAACAACTGGTCCTGTACCTACTAACGTTGTGTTGTTATTTTTAAACACATTAAAATATTTTATGTACTTATACTGGTGGGGACAGAGTAGCTTCTTAATTGTTAGCCATTAGTCACACGTACATGTACTCCATTGTTCTTACTTGTATAATGATCCAGTTTAACTTCACCAATAGTGTCCTCCACAAGTACCGTATAGCGGGAAATTTCGGAGGGAATTAAATTTGGTGAATTTGGCATTTTGATTGCCATTCGCCAAAATAAAATCCACCATTTTGAGCCTTTATACGCATGCTCAATGGCACGTGGCCACTAATTCACCAAATTAAAATCTGCCAATAACCAAAATTTAGCAATTTGCCAAATTTTACTACCTCCAGAATTTCCCGCTATACAGTAGTCGTCATGTCTCAACCTGTTTGTGACTGTTGTATCATAATTCATTATTATTATTGTCGTTGTTGTTATTATTATTATTATTATTGTCAATAGCCGAGGAGATATAATTTGGATAGCTGGGACAGATCAATGATGCAGAGAGACAAGAGATTAACCGGAAGCAACAAGCAACAAGTAAGGGAGAGAGAGAGAGAGGGAGGGAGGGAGAGAGAGAGAAAAGAGACGACATAATCATTAATCCTTCTTTATTGATCACTTCTATTTCTTTCCTATAGGCACTGTAAACTGTAGACACACACTCACTCAAACTCATTGATTAGAAATACTCTATTAATTGTTGTTATTATTAATACTATCATAAAGGTAGTTATTATCCAATTATTATCATTAGACTATTATTATAATTATAATTATAAATAGCTATTAATTCTAAAATCTAAAAAAAGACACACAATAACACACACACACTCACAATAATAATAACAAATCAAACGTCATTTACTAACAGTATACCAAACCAGTATACTAACAGTCAGAGTATCCTAATAGTATACTAATCCAGTATATCTCAAAGGTTAGATTCAGACAGCATGTGATAGCTCCCTCCTTGAGTACCCAAACCAATGTCACCTTCCTCCTCCCCTTCAAGACTCCGCCCCCTTCTCCTCCGGTCCCCTGGTAGCCCCCCTGCAGCCGAATGGGACTGGGTATATTCGGAATCACGAAACGAGAGGACGCGGTCTTCCATTTCGTCGGAGACACTGGAACTGTCTTTAGAGGATTCGTCATCACTGGATTCCAGTAACTGCATAATGATATTCATTAATCAGTAACCACACCCACTAATGAACTATACTAATTTTGAGTGACAAAATTATTATAAATTCTAAATTAATTTAAACTTTTAACAATTTCTAAAAGGGATCTTCAGCTTTTAATACATAAACTAAGGTGATACTTGATTTATATTTTACTATCTTAGATTAATGTACATGTACATAAGGCACACCCATTACTTAACAAGCCACGCCCATCAATTAATAAACGTACCTCCTCGTCTTTTGGTTTACACTGGGCACAGCAGGTGATGCAAATGGTGGG